GTGTGTTTTAATCCAGGAAACAATTCCGATCCGATGACTATACAATTTTTTTAGTTGGAAAATGTGAAAGTGAACTCAAAGGCGCAAAGTTGCCAAGCATGAAACAAGTTCTGCAATTACTTTTACCTTCCTTTTATTAGCTCGGTATGTAACTATGTAATATTGATGCGCCTAAAAGATGCAGCTATTTCTATTCTCAAGTTACATACCTGATAACAGTTCGAATGGCAATTATAATAGGGAGGTTTTAGTTTTTTAAACTATAATTTTATTTTACAAAACGCGAGTGGTATAAATAAAATTCGGTGAAAGTCGGTGTAAAAAATACAATTGATGCCACCATTGATTTTTATCAAAAAGCAAACATTAATATGATGACCGCAACCAACTGTGTGAAACATTTTTAATGCCGCCACCTGCTAGGATTTTTCTATACCGAAAAAAGTTATACCCCTATTTTTTATTTAGAAATCAAAAAATATTTAGAGACTGCTCAAAACCCCCATGTATGCCATGAATTTTATATGGGGAAAAAACAAATTTCATAGAAATGGTATAGAATTGTTGAAAATCAATATTTATCCATCGGAAAACTCTATTTCTCTTTAGGAGATTCCCAATAATACCCAATTGTTTATTTAAGAATTTTTTAATGGAAATAGTTACCAGTTTTATAGGTCCTCTAAGACCCTAGATATAAAATGCAATCGGGGACCAATGAAAAATCGTTAGTAATAAAAAATGGTTAAATAAACAATTGAATATTATTATCTTGGGGAGGAGTAGAGTTCTTCGATCGAAAAATATGGATTTGCAAGACCCTATGCCGTTTCTACGAAAACTTGTTTTTTTTTTTAATATAAAATACCTGGAAAAAATTTAGCGCTTTGAGCACTCTCTAAATATTTTTGGATTTCAAAATAAAAAATAGGGGTACATATATTTTTTTCGGTATAACAATCCTAGGGGGTGGCGGCATTGAAATTCTGACTTTACTTTATTTTGGGCCACCCTAACGTACATACATATACATATATAACACCTCATGAGCAAACGACCCTATAAACATTTTGGCGAAGTTCGAAAATTACCTTCAATATCCAATATGCATATCGAACTGCGAACGAACTCATAACCAACCTTGGTGTTCCAACGTTCAGAGTAAATCATGATGGAATAAAGAAAGGTGTTATACGTTCGCTTTCTTCTTGCTCTAATCGCCATCTTGAACTCCCTTAGAAATTTCAATTTGCCGCTTTGACAAAGTACTTTTTATATCAGAGCGATTTTCATGAAAAAGTACTAAAAATGGTACTCACACAAGCAAAAGCATAGATCGACATGCATTGGCATCACTGATCGCCTTTTTCGTCTTTGTTTTTATCTCTGTTTCGTTGACAATCGGAGTTAAAATTAATTTTTATTAGATAAAATAAAAAATTCCGCATTTCAAATTTTTTTTTTGGAAAAGAATTACTCAAATCGTAAGTATTTTATGTATATCCGATAAAGAAACTATAAATAAAACTATTCCAAAGGTGTTTTGCTGTTTTGTGTGCCCGTGCATTCCATCAACTTGATCGGCTGCCAGCATTGTTTGAATTACTGCAAAAACATCGCTGCACTCGTAAGTACTTTTGCAAAATTTAATTAGGCAGCTATTAACGATTTTTTTTTCATAGGTTTTCACTTGCTTTGGTTCGCTGCCTGTGTACATCTTGGTGCCAGCTGCGGACTGTGGACCAACTTTTCGTGGCCGTGTGACTCTCGCATCGTCACAGTGTGTCTTCCGCTTCTCTGTCTGTGGGACCACTGCATCGTAGGTTTCTTCTGCTGCTCCACATGTAAGTACTGTTGCAATACCAGTTGGAGCAAATATATGTAAATGGAATTATTTCACAGGTTTTCGACTGCTTCGTGTTCCTTTGTTCATCTGGCTTGTACATTTCTGTCGCTGCACTATCAGCTTACCATCATCTACTTTAGAGCCATCTTTCCACCACCGGCGTATTTTCGACGTAAGTTAACCTTTATGATTACAAGCCTTCTAAAGGGTTATAGATCATTTATGCATACATTGCACTGCATTGCACTCCATTATATCTGCGTACATCCACCCTTGTTTTTTTAAATATTCAAAATGATTTGCTAACTATAATTTGTTTGCTAATTTTGTACAAAAATATGGTTCATACTACAAACCAGAGTTGTGAAAAATGCATTAATTTTTTAATGCATAGCATTTTAATGTTAATGTAAACAAGTAAGAAAGTCTAAGTTCGGGCCTATATATGTTTTCCACCTTTCCGAAAGCTGCCGCTACTGATAAGCCGAGGTGTATAAATTTTAAGTAAATTAGCGTCCTTAAATTTCGAAA